ATATTGCAAACTGTTTCTCAAACTCATTTCTAATTACCCATAAGCTAAATCTGTGAAAACCGTCGTATCATCTGGTGCTTTGCCGTGTGAGATTCGTTCACGGTTTCCAGGAGAACCAACAACAAGAACTGTTGCGAATTTCGGATTAACAAAGCGATTTTTATCGGCTTGATGATCTATTTCATCCATATAAGCTACGACATAAATTAGTGAAAAAAGAAAATCAGTTACGTCAAAAGAAAATATGGATTAATTCGAATTAAATGTACACATAAATCCTAAAGATAGACTTACTTGGATAAAGACGTTGATAATTGTGCTGATGTCCACAGATAAATAAGTCGACTCCGTATTTATGCAGCAATGGAGAGAATTTCGAGAAATCTGTGCGATCCATCCACCATGCCTAACAAATATTACATTGGAAATTGACAAGGATAATAAAGTTGGTAATAAGTTCTTACATTGCCAGCTACTAATAACGTTACAAGTTCTTAATAAATTTCAAACTACAAAATTATCGTAATTGCTAATTAATTACCTTATGGGCCAACATAATGATCCATGGAGTTTTATCACGATTCTCATTGGCCTGTAAAAAAATCATGAATATTGTTACTGTGTGATAACCATAACTCTTCAAATTAAATCCTATTCATTTATTTTCAACTTAATTTACAAAGTTCAACAATACCAACAGCAAACTATATGAATTATTTACTTTACTATGCTATTTTCTTTACCTTCTTTAAATCTTTAGCTAGCCATTCTATTTGGCGTTCAATTTGTACCTATTGATTTTATTAAAGTCAGAGATGGAAATATAGTTTCACTACATAAGCCGAGTTAAGTTATTATGCGATAATAGAGTAGGAAATCAGTACCGGATCCGAATAGTACGCGTAAACTTCCGTATCGATCGCAACAAAGTGGATGTTATCCTGGTCAAAGCTATACCTGTAGCATTTGAATGATAAATATATAAAAAATTTATAATATTTCAATCCGTAAATAATAAATTAGTAGTACCGTTGATCTTCATTAAATAATTATTACTTCTTGAAAAGAGACTATAATGAAATTTGGTAGAGCATATTTTAAGTATCTCATTGAATTCAATCTTCAATACGCGTATGCATTGAGTAAAACAGGATAATATTCTCAACTAATAACTTAATAATAAAGCTTATCCACATAATTGTATATAATCATGAGCCAATTATTTAGATATTAATAATAATTACGTTAGAAATAGGTACATAGATCATTTAAAAATATTTCCAAATTATTTATTTACGCCCTTTCGACGTAACGATGACCTTATTAATGTATTTGAGTTAAATTTACTTATTCATGAGCCCATACAAAGAATTTAAGATTTTTTGTACTTTATATTTTGTTTACCAGCAGTTCATAAACAGTAGATAAAATATATATGAGCAGCCTCTTAATATGCATATTGTAGTTATATCAGAATCATTAAGCTGATAGATTTTAAATAAAATAATGGTAATTAACTTTCCACCAAAGTTAAAGCATTAAAAATTTTTTCTAAATAAATAATATAAGCGATATTTTAGAGTCTAAATGCGATAGGTCATCTAATTTTAAATTAAATCTATAATAGAACGAAAATAAAAATAAAAAACTTTGCACTAATATTATGAGGTTGAAAAACACTTTCGTAAATGAAGTGATGCTTTTACTCCAAATAATTAGTAACTATGCATTATAAGTAGTAATTTATGTTTGTCTTTTAATTTCGATCAGTCATGAATATAATAATGTTCTATCAATCTGTTCTAACTATTTATAGATAAATGTCTATTCCATCTTGTAGATGATTTTAGTCATCATTTAAGTGGTGGATAAAATTTAAATGAAATGACTCACCATAAGTTTGTATTGCTACCACTGTTGATACCAACGCCAGCTGCCATACCGGCATAACGATTTTGGTATTGAGAGAAATTGCTATAATGCTAAGTAGATAGTAAAAGATATGCATAAGTCACAATAATTATAACCTTCTAGTCATACTATTTATATCGGTGATAGATTAATCATAAATCAGCAAGTAAAATTCATTTTACCTCATGATTACCGGGTAAGACCATGTAAGGTGTTGTTGTGGTTAAAGGTTGAATCATTCTAAGAAATCTATTAAATCATATTAACAAACAGCAATTAATGATGATCTAATAACTTAATAGCGAAATGACTAGTTTATATTTCAAGCTTGTGTAATAATGATAATTTTATTATACTGTAGATCAACTAACTTATCTCCCGTTCTGCCATAATCGTCATGTAAATCATACGCGATATCTTACAATTATTGAAGAATACCCATATTCGATAAACACCAAGCATATAGTATAATGAAAAGAGAGGAGCAGATAAGTCAAAAAATTAGCATATTAGCCTATAATAAAGTTGATTAAAAATGAAATCAATTGTCTTACCCCCAACATGTAGAAACATATCGAACTGTCTTTCTTGCATTTCCGTAACTAACTGGTTGAAACTAACATCATTTTTCAGTCCAAAATCGCCGTAGACCTGATAATTGTTACACATATTGTTTACTAAGCCGTATTAAGAACTGATAAAACTACTATATCAAATAAAACCGTACGTTATATTTATAATTAATGAGGAAAAATAATTAAATTAAGTAAATTAGAAATTTAACTTCTAATAAATTTGCAATATACATTGTTCGGCGAGTGTTTATGATACTGTTCCAATTGATTTATAGTAATAAAACCTATATTTCATAGTTTATAGTTGAAAGGTATTCTATCACAGGTTATTATTAATGCTATTTGATAGGAGCAAGATTTACTATTTGGATGATGCTAATGTGTTTTCAACTTATAACATTAAATATCAAGATAAGCCATTCACTCTTTATCCAATCCTACATAATACTGTAATTTAGCCGTATTCAACACGAACAAATTTAAATATGCTCTATTCTTGAAGCAGTATAGTTAGTAATATTTAAATTAACGGTGTCAAGCTTATGAAACATTTTAAATTACAAAATTAATCATCTATATCATATTCAGCAGGATATGATAATTTAAAAATTTATTATTATCATAGTTATATAACTAGAATAGACTTTAGGTAAATAATAAGTAACTTACGCCATATCTTTGTGGCTTCTTTTGTGTAGTAAAATTATACACAGAGCTTGAGCAACCGTCTGCAGATGCTTGGTAGTAATACGTCTTGTTAATCTTTAAATCAGTAAGCTAAGAAAGTATAAATGATATGTCTTGTAAATTTAATACATGTTAAAGCCTTCAACTATAGGTATAGAGTAATGATAACGAAATATAAAACAGGGTGATAAATTAATTATCAACAATACAATAGTAAGAGCGATATAATAGATCTCTATAAAACCTAAACTTCATTCGCATTTCTAATATCAAATGTGCAATCAATTCACCATCCCTTATCCATCTCAAAAACAACTTTTAAAATTCATATAGCGACTACAACATACTGTAGTACTACAGTCTATTTTCATACTTCAACAAACTACCGATGCCTGCACTTGAAAACCGGATTTATTTCAAAACTATCGATATTACATTAAGTAGTATCTACTTATAAGGATAAAATAGATATCGAATTTTAGTTTTAAAAATTGGAATGAGTACCGTAAAATGTCAGGCAGTTACACTAGCAACGGCAGCAATTTACGATAACCCTTTATTTTAGCCTAACTGACGTAGAACATTTATTCAATAAGCTGTTGATCGGCGGACTCGATTACAATTTTCATAAATGTAAATATATGGATAATTGGTCATATGCAAATGAAAGAAACAAGTTCTTGAAGTCTTTATAATAACCCTTTACTTAATAATAAATAATGTACTGATGAATTTATCACTAAACGAAATTCAAAGTAAAAATGTCAAGATTTTGACGAAAACTAAAAAAATGAAGTAATCTTACATGATTTACTTATAGAAATATTATTTAGATTCTTCGTCTAGATATTGCCACATAATCTTTCGGTTGAAGCAATCGATCGCAGAATTAACTTAAAAAGTACTACAACTAGTTACTAATTGGGAATTTTAAACAGATCTAATATTGAAAGAAATAAAAATGCTACAAACGACGCTAAGAAGATGACAGCCTCTGTGCTAGAGGTTTTTCAGTAAGGTACCTTATTTTTAAATTAATGTGCTCTTATTTATGAGTGTTTGATTGAAGCTAAAATATGTAGAACTTTATACCGCTAATCGATATCAATTTCGCTCACGCTGAATATATAGAGTAGATGATTTCTAGTTAAAGGGAAAAATTTACTTCAGTCTATATCAGATTAGAGATATCGTTGTTATACTTTGCAGCTAGTAAATATTTCGTATACTAATGAAAGTAGACATTGCGATACAAGTAGATATATTCAAAAATGAATTAATTAGAATAGCAAAAAGAAATTTGAGGTTAAACCAGATAATTTTTATGATTAAGGAAGATTTCTCTAAAGTCTTGACATAAATTTGTTAGACATTCAATTTATTGTCTTACTATTCAGAATAATATTCTACTTTACTTATGAAACAATTCCGTGTAAATGAGATTCTCTATTAGTCAGGCGAATTAATAGTCTTGACGATAGTGTAGATCTTCAATAATGAATAATTATAAATTGCACAAATTAATATGTCAGTTTTTTATTGTATAGGAATTAACTTGAAAACTTCTAGAAATATTCCGAAATTTAGTAGTGGCCCTTTCTAATTACTAACGAAAGAAAAATTGCTATTCTATTTAACAAGCTTTATCAATTCCTGGTGAACTATTATAATCTATAGTAGTAGGTTATCCTTCCACTCAATGTCCAATTATCGATAATAATTTAATCCCTTTTCTCCTTAAATTGCCATACCGTTAATAAAGAAAACAAGATTTTAATCGATACAGCACTAAAATTTCGACTTTCATTTTGATCGGAACGATAGAATATTATCTTAAATTAAGTCGCCTTTTGATATTGATGATGTTTTTCAAGCATACTACCACGTCTGTGTACTTAGAATTAAGTATAGAAGTTTTTCAAATTTCTATCAGGCAATCATTGTATCTGAGAATTAATGTAGAAGAAGACTAATCAAGTACGAGATTTAATGCGATGTAGATAGGCCGTCAGGTCTGCATACACGTAGAAGAAGACTAATCAAGTACGAAATTTAATGCGATGTAGATCGGCCATCAGTTCTGCATACACGTAGTCAAATCTAGAAAGTTTTGAATTTTTATCGACAGTTGCATCTGAGAAGTGATGTAAAGTATGACTGATAATATTATATAAACTTATGTACGATATAACATCAAGACTGTATCTAAGGAACTATTTAATTCTGTTACGGAAATTATCTAAATTTTATTCCTTAAACCAGTCTCAGGATATTTCTACTGATGACCTTGACAGCAGTAGTATGAGCCTTTTGATTTCTGAGGAAACAATTTACCGCGTGCAAATAACTAAGATGTCTGATCACGATGGCGCTATCTGATCGCATTTAACTTCAATATGTGGAAAACATTTCAGAGACTACATAAATCCCAGTTTAAAATAAAACGAAAGACAAGTCTGTAAAGTATTATTATTATAAAAACCTTCGATGACCTTATCAATGACATTTCCACTCGAATAGCTAGAATAGATTCGTATTTTTCAGTAATTTTCATGTTGAGTATGAAAGAAGCAATACTGATCATGATGAATTTGACCTCCTAACTCTGTTCAAGGGGTACATGTTTGCAGTTTACCTTATTCGCAGATTTGGTTAAATTAACCCCTACTTGTAAACTAAAGTTTTATCACATTTGAAATTTGAAGGTGGAAGTAGCAGTAACTAATTTCGCCCGTACTTATGATTACCTATTTATCTTTCATGAGATATATACATAGTCATGACGTTAGTTACTGTATGTAAAGCAGATTGAAAATGAAAAGATCGGACTACCATTCACGATGATGAATTGAATACTACTGCTTTCCATGATGCCTATTTCCAGATGCTCAAATTTCTTCTCTAGCAATAGTATGTAGGGCATTTTACCCGTTTCGATAAGAGCTATTATTATTTTCATTTTTGGAGCTGAGGAATAATACGTGCTAATATTTGATCATCGAATGATTACTTCTCATTGACGAGTTAATAGACTGGAATGAACCATCAAACAAGTTGAGAATCAACAGAGATGAGTTAAAAGAACAGAATAATGTTTTTTATCGATTGAAGTACATAATCAAGCATGTTGAGAATCAACAAAGAGAGGAGTTAAAAGCGTAGAGTAACCTTGTTTTATTGATGGCAACGATTAAATTGACCCTAGAATTACCTTGGTGTAGAGAATGGAAATGATACGATTTCTTCTACCGGTAGCACTTTTAACGGCAGCAAATTCATGGCAATGAATTTGGCCATGTTGGGAAAGATCATTTGGATTTACACCATATCGCAGAGAACTTTGCGATGGACATGTTTTAATCTGAACAACGAATGAAATAACACGTTCAGAGGGTTTACCAGTAACACTTAGATGAATCTGTTCGGGTTGTCGGCAATTTCTCTCCAGAATAGAATAATCTCGGTTGTCATGATGAATATGATTACGATGATTAGATCCCGGTAGATAATAGACGACGCCAGTAAATAGATAGATGAAAATCAAGGAGAGGATAAAGCTCGAAGACACCATGGTGCTCCTTTAGCCTAGCAGACCGATCGAATTATTAAAAGATTGGGTCTGTTAAGACTTAAATACATGTATCGACTTTGATCTAAATGACGTCAGCGGAAGAATGGAAAAATATAAGGCAGGTGCCTATTTGTTGATACTATTGCCACGGTCTGCCTACTCTGTCCAGTAGTGCAGTATAGTAGAATCAAGTGCATACAACAATTAAAAGCATAGAATGATGCTGAATAATTATAAATAGAGTCAATGGAGAATTCAGGACCTAAAGTTATAAATTGATTTTCTGTCAACGAATATTGATTTAAGGAGTCTGATGTGTGTATTTTATATGAATTATACATCAGATATTGTCCACTCAATAGAACAGGTGGAACTCAATTAGTACGTAGACAGTTTATTGAAACTAATGCAAGGATATTTTCGCAAGTGGTATTTTCTCCATTTATCATTTACTAAAACAAGTTCAATTCTAATCATGGCCATATTGATTTTTGAACTGAAGAATTAGTTAAGATATCGCTCTTTAAATGATTCATTGATTTTAGCCATGGATTTGGAATGAATCAAGATATGATCGATCATCCTATCGAGAAGGTTGGATCAAGCAGCTATTGAGCTCAGTATTTTAGACTTGCAATAAATGAGGCCGACTCTTGAGAGATAAAAATCTCTTCGTAATTGTAGTAAAATTTCTTTTTACTACATGTAGTCACTCGTTTCATTTTTTATCGATCAGCACTCCTTGATTTAAAATTTCTGACGGCAATCTAGCCTGTACCTAATATTGCTCTGATTATGATTGCAAGATAGGAGCATGAAAACTCGAGAATCTTTTCCTTGAAGAGTAAAGGATAACCATCCACAATTCACGTGATTAACATGGATCTCCAAGATCTTACTCCCCGCCGACTTGTAGTCACGTTTATCCACTGTCCCTTTAAAATTGTACCATCCTGACTATAATATCGACTACTGTACCGACTCCTTTCGAGCTATGTCCAGTCTTAAAATTCGATAAATTCAACCTATCGGAAAGATAAGGTGTTTCATCTAAGATAGAATCGAGTTATGGTTATTTCTGGCGATAAATCTAGGTACGATGTTTCTATCTATCCCACTCACAGCGGGGGCCTAAATGCGTTTGCCTATGGAATCAAATAAGAGTCAAGAGTATAATTATTGTCGTTGCAGCTAATGACTGTAGTAAAGTGCTCTGCGTTATATATAACTAACTACTAGAGTCTAGAGAACTACACTATTCGTAAGTTCGTACTACTCCGGAAAGCAGCAATTGAAAAAAATAATATATGAGATTAGTAATATGGACAAAAATAACAATTCACAAACGTATTAAGAAAATTCTTAAAAACAATAAATATAAACGTCTTCATTAGGGAATAATATTTAAATGTTCTACCAAACAAATCGCGAATGCTCCAATTAGGATTAATATCGATAACAAGGTAAAAGTTAAATTACCTGAAAATATGATTAAATCTTAATCTTATTTTATAATATTTCTAAATATACGTATTATGAAAAGAACATGTGATCTATCGCTCATACTCTTATTAGTAAATATAGTCGCTCTCAATAGCTATAATATGCAGTACTTCGATCTCAAGTATGGCATTAATAGCATGCAGTAATAAGGAGTCAAATTGATGATGCAACGGCTAGTTCTATCTACTGTACAGTACATATGCATCTATGTCGGCCAAATGGTCTATTTAACTATTTACTGTATACGTATATCTATATCTAGCTGCCCTACGTCTAAGGCTTCCAACAATCTGCGAATGGCTATAGCTATATATCTGCCTAATCGGTTCACAATGAACGGGAAGAGTAGCTATTTATATCCGCTCACTATACTATACATAACATTTATACGGTATACACATATACCATCTACATGTACATATATATACATAATTATAGATATATAATGCTAAAACATCTACTTATACTCTAAAGTATGGCGCTAATACTGTTGGCATGCAATAAAGAATAAAGCCAATGATACAACAAACGGCTAGTACTATCTACCGTATACTGTATATGCGTCTATGCTGATCAAAGTGTCTATTTAGCTATCTATACCTATATCTATATCTAGCTGCTATATGTCTAGAGCTCCCCCAACAACCGCTGGCTATAGCTATATACAACGGTCTATATTGATTTACAAAGAACGGCAATAGCATCTACCTGTACCCGTTCGCTATAGTTCAGTATATCCGCTCATAACGTACACTACACTGTATCAAAGACTACAAGAAGGTCTTCTTCTAGTAGTTTTTGACTATGTTCATCATTTTTGGTCGATAAGGGAGCATAACTTCAGTGAAATGGATATAGTTTCCTACTAGTGAGCCAAATATAACCAGCAAATCATCCCAGCCTACATATAGGATATTGCAACATGAATCATACAGGACTCGGTACTGTTCTGAGTCATACAGAGTAATTGTGACAGAAGGCCTGGACGCCTCGACTAGCGCAGGCGCCGTGCAGCTAGTAGTCTTTAGCTCATTGCATAGTCGTAGAGTAACTTAAATCCGACTAAAAGCAGGATTCCTTTTCTCTTTAATTCATTTTTCCGTCGGCCAATTTTGTTCTCATCATTAGCTCATTGAATAATAATTCCTCAATACACTAGAATAAAAGAGCTATGACCCGATTCGCAAGAAGCAATCAAAACAAGGGACGTAAATTGGACAAGGCTACTCCATGGAAAGAATTAAAACCTCAATACGCCGGTTTGTATACCATGATCATGCAGCTACTTCCTTAGCTCTGCTTTTTCATGATAGCCATTCATACTGCTGTCATTTTATACTATTCGGCCATTGATTTCTCTTATTCAGTAATAATTATAAGACTAGATGATAGCAATGAATTGTATGCAAGAATTGATCGCAGGCTTGCAACCAGCATGGTGGACATGACATTCAGTTTAATGACAGTCAATGATGAACTACTGTATTGTAGATGCACCGAAGATGCAATAGTCTAATCCAATGCGCTGTACAGACTACCTCATTCTTTGCCCGTGCCCAACTATAAAGTATTAATTGACAGCCGCAGTTATTGGCTGAATTTCATTTAAAGATTAGCATTGCAAGCTAGCAGTAGTTACTTACATTATTATTTGAGATAGGATCTTGTATAATTTACCATTCGAGCAAGACCATTTTTGTTACTTTTCAAATTATATGACTGTAATTTGTAATTAACCTTGATCGACCGAGTACATATTACAGCCAGAGCTGGACCATAACCATCTCTTTGATCTCACATGATTTAAAGTCACGCTGTAATAAGCAGCGATAACAGCAATGTAAAAATTATCATTATACACGTATGCTTGTCAAACTGACATGTAAACTATGCAGTACTCGTGTTATTCTATAAAATAAATGGAAGAGTTGATACGTTTCGTCTCCATAGGCAACAAGAATAAAAGTAAACGTCCAGATCCCGGGAGTAAAATGAAAATGCATCACATCGGTAAAGCCGATCAGGCCAAACTTCAAAAGAAAAAAACGGTAAATTGTACATTACAATCGTTAAATATAAAATTTTGTCAGTGAACTACACTGACTATAGGAATAACAGTATACAGTACTAATAATCAGAATGACATTCGCCTCTCTCACATTACCACTGTAAGCAAATTATTTCAAAACTAATCCTTAGGTTTGCTTCAAATGTCGACAACCCGGCCACAAAGTGTCCAAATGTAAAGCAGAAAGCGGAAATAGTAGCGAAAAAATTTGCTTCAAATGTGGTTCCAGTAACCATTCCTTATATCAGTGTACCCAATATGATCAATCACGTCGTGATGGTAAATATCCGTTCAATTATTCTCTTACCTTATAGACGTGCCCCTATAATTATCTTAATTTAATCTATATATCCTGATTATAGTATTACTAAAATAAAATTAAATAATATGCTATTGTCTAGATCCATTGCCCTTTGCAAAGTGTTTTATATGTCAAGGTGTTGGTCACTTATCAAAATCTTGCCCAGACAATCCTAGAGGATTGTATCCGTTAGGTAAATTAGACAATAAGTCAATATCGTTCAATGTTATATCTACAAATATACAGAAATATAACAATCGTAGATTTCGACCCTCTTGCATATAACTTGTAGTCAAGTCCATAGAGGTAAAAGGAAAGCTACCTCTATCATTAAGTCGGATAATATAAAAAGTTAGTTTATACGAATAAAAGCTAAGACTTTTTGGCAATAGGTGGATCCTGTAAACTATGTGGATCCGTAGAGCACTTTCACAGAGATTGCCCCATGAGACACAAAGGTATTTATGTTGATAACTTCATGTATAGGTTCAGGACATCTTATTCTGAATGCGATTTATGATATAATAAATAAACCGTGCTATAGAAGTCAGTCTATTTAACGTTATTCCAATGTTCTTTAATAGAAGAAGAAAGCGAATTGAAATTACGTGTTTTAAATTCAACCGTGAGCGCAGATGATGATGGTATGGTAACGATTTCTAAATCGATTAAAACTAACTTTTCTAAAGCTAAGGGAAGACCCAAAATTGTTCGATTTTGAAAAGCGCAGATAGCGCAGCCTATTTGTAATAAAATTGACGGGAACAAATGTATAAGCTATAATGAAACCTTGAATGTTACTGCAACAGTAGCTACTTCATTAAAAATCAAGGCCAATAACAATTCCTTGAATCAATGCTTCATTATTTAACTGTATCATACATTTATTTTGTTGTACTCGATAAAATAATACACACTTCTGAAATTATGTACTTGCAATTAGCTCACACTTGGTACGGCTAAGAAAAAATAAAAAGTATATTATGCAACTTATACCTAAATAGATGCAGTATAAGCTATATATAAATTACTTTTTAAAATTGCCTTTTCATTACAACAGGTAAGAAGTTGTGTATATTAATTGATGACTATAATAGCAATGTAAATCTTGTACGTCCTTTTATTGATGTTATAGTAACATATAAATTTTACTACTAATATTAGATTCGAAGCAGAAGCACAGTACTGTTCAATTGTAATGCACTGACAATGCGATACTTTTATTACAGAAAATTGATATTCTAAAGAAAGCATAAACTGTAAATAAAGTTGCTAGAGTTTTGATTGTAACGACTAATGCGTTCAAATTGATTAAAACCTTTTGTAATAATATTGCCAAGCTTTTAACGCAAATAGCTAAACATGTTATGACTACCAAATTACCGTTATAATGCTTGTAAGGTAACGAATATTGTAGTAAGAATTAAATAAAGTACAATTAATCTAGCTTTATATATTGATATTCACATGTTAAAATACATATATAATTAGATTTTAATTGCCCTAAGCAATCTATACTATAGCCATAGCAAAAATTAATAGATCAAGGCTATGCGATATCTATGCGTGCACATGCACCCTTTAAAAATTTTCATTTCTAACTAATACGAATATAATAAATTAAGTCTTCGTTACCATCCCAACAACGACGGTAATATCATCTATAATTCCGCCATATTCAATATCAAGATCATCTATTATTTTACCACCAGTTCTTCTGCTATGGCTGGGTGCAATCCTAGATAAATTGTAGAACATAAAGGTAAATCTACATTAGCAAACACTATAATCATTCTATACGTGTAATCTCCAATTAATAATACTGTAATAACAGCAATATTTAGATTAGTGATTATCATTAGATGGAATAAGGGGTTAAAATATCTATACAATTATAATCATAGTAATAAGACACAATTGCTCACCTATCAGGCCTACTAGCCAATTGATAAGCTCTACTACAAAGTATACGAGCAGCACCAAGAGCGTCATTAATATTCTAAAGAAGAAAAAAAGATTATACCCTCGTATGTAACCTAATACAGCAATAGCATTTCCACGTAGAAGAGGTAGCCAACGTTGCTAATGTACACGTAAATACTGTATATTTCACCCAATATAAAAAGAAGAGGCATACAGAAATTGTAAATACAATAGTTGATAGGTTATTGTTATTGAATTAGCTGATATACACTTTTTAATCACTTACGTGCATATCATTTAACTCTTCTATCAATTCTTCATCATATAAATTATCGATAAAACCATCAGTTGCAGCTATTATATGATCATTTTCTTTTAACTCAAATGTGCTCAAGGTAGCATCGGATATTCTATAAGGATCATCAAAGGTAAATCTTTTTTAAATCGCTATACTAGACCGTAGCCTATCTTCTAATCGTATTATAATCGTTTAAATAGTTCATAGACTATTTACTTAAAAGAGTGTAACTTTAGAATATATGATTACTTCCCTGGATTAACTTACTTGCTAGAGATTGTTGTGTTCGGCGCCGACGGTGGCACAATAGCAAGTTGATATGGCGCATCTCTTGAGTATAACTGATAATTTGGTGTGTGCAGTAACTGCGTATCTCTCACCAAATAGAAGCTACTATCGCCCAACGTTAACGATTTCAATGTTCCTTCGAATTTATTTAATATTAGCAGACAAACAGTCGCACTCCCTAAGGATAATAAAAATTCACGATGCTATTAGATTATCCAAAATAATGTTAACGGTCAAATTTTAAATCGTTTTTAAAGGATAAACTATCTCTAAAAAATAAAAAGAATAGGGCAAAATTTACAGATTAAAGATACAGCAAAATCAACTATACTGTACAACCGATACGTATAGTTATTAACCGCTACTTGAGCAGTAGCAAATATGACATTATTAATTTATTCATCACTGGCTCTCATGTCATTAAATGATTGAAAAATATCTAAGATTATACGAGGACTAAAAGTACAATTTGTATGAGATTGAGTTAACTAACTAACCTCCTTCCACTTGTTTATCATGTATCAGTTTATCGTAGCTATCATTCAACAAAGATAACGGATCGCTGTATCCCTTGGTCATCATCAATTGATGACAATTGTCCATTAAAGTTGTTGGGAATATCGTAGGATCATAACCTGCAGATCTCCATTGACCAACGCCATCAGCAACACCTATACAAAATACATCATAAACACTTCAAATAAACGCATCAACGGTCGATAACTTAATGTATCTATAAACATAAGTCGATTAATATAAAGGAGCAGTTGGAGAATTACTGAAATCATAGCAGAAAATTGCTGCTAATGAAATTGCATAGTAACGATTATTCAAAAATTGGGGCCCATGAGTTAAGTGTAGACTGGCTCACTGACTAACTAACTAAGGGATTCATAATCAAGTCAACTTGGCAACTATATCACTTGTTTATGACAGCAATCTCACTCTCGAGGAGAACTACAATGCAATAAGTATAATACTGGTGGTAGACCTTCGCTATTGCACTTTGAATAGGTGCCGTTTTACAGGCATTACAGTATACTATCACAGGTTACAACGCTATAACAGATCAGCTTTGATAAACGTTTCTGTGATGATATATTGAACGGCGAAAGATTAGAGCTTTATAATCGACTAGAACGCTCGCTTAATGATGTCTGCATACGCCTCAGACGGATGAAACGATTTTTATATCATTATACTGCAATCTGAGTCCACCTGAAATGATCGTGTATCATCGCCTAAAAGCAATGTTCATAAATACCCTTATGTAATCTTTCATATCAAGTAGTCTATGTTAATGTCTACTCCATGATCATAAAAATAATAATCCTTGTATATACATGCATATACACATATCATTTCAAATCACGGTGACAAATAATACGAGTGCACAGAGCGCGGCTCATTTTAACAAACAAGATTGACCAACCGATAGCATAGTAATCTCCAGCGTCAGCCAGGAAAAATGCATCTTCACACGGCCGCTTAAGGACACGAGGTTTAGAATCGCCACCAGCTAATACATCAAATTTTCTTGCTGGCGACGTTCTTGTATTCGTTACGAGTAGTCTTGATGTGCTTTTAATCCATTGATCAGGTTGTTTATTGAGTAATCTTCTTAGCGTAGACGATAACATTTTATTGATATCTACAGATAACGATCGGAAAAGTTGATGAAAGTATTTGAGGTAGTTTACCAAGCTATGCCCCCTACGACATCCGGCATGAGTACATTACTCTTTTTATAAGCCAATGTCTGGTAAGGCTGTCAATCGTTTTCTATCTATTATACTATAATCAATCGCTCCAAAGTACTCTAATCATGTAATATGGATGGGTTATATCCTTCTATCACTAGACCAACAATTTTCCCACAATATCCACCCTTTCCATCAACACCGGACGATAATTATGATGTCTTCAAAAGTGGTACTTCGCTTTGCACGTGACCTTACGGGAACAGTACGTGAAGTACCGTGCTGTAACTGCGCTACTTTACAGTACGCTATCCACAGTACTGTACGGTACTGGATTATACTGTACCACCATGGTAAAGACCAGTGAGGCGCCGTGGTACAGTACAGTACAAGTACTGTAGATGGATGCTAATCAGGTAATACTATCTTACTTACTATCGTAATAACCCTACACTATTTGGCCACCTTGCTAGAGGCAGCGCATGAGCAATTGAGCATGACAGGAAACAACTGGCTCCAATAGTCAGTACGTACAAGGCGACAGCGATCATCATGGCTCCCTTAGCTATTCGACTGGAGGCAATCAACATGGCCTACATACTACTGTATCAATTATATTAGTACTAGTCATAAAATCCGTTGTTCTATTCAAGGTTCATGTCTATTGAGTTTATTTTCGTATTTACTTGCAACGACAACATACAATAACTGTCATTAGATATTTTGGGGCGCAATTCGTGCTCAATGATTATGCAAGGGTATCAATTCTACAGCAATTATAGGGTGGGAGTGGGATAACTAGTACAAAGCCGCTTGTTACACTTGGCGTAATATGTAATTCCTTGTTACTTTACTTTTTATTAATTAATTAAGTAATAATATTATTGAATTCTATCTGTCTTTCCATAGTTATGAGCACTATTTCAAGCGAAATGTTGCATGCATATTATTATAATAAATTAGACCTACAGTCCTACATTCGTTATACTGTATACGTATGTACTTGTCTCTTTACATCATAGACAGTACATGATATTAATTATATTACTTCGCATAGATGCTTATCCATTATATAATACTACGCAGAAAGCGATACATCATGATATATCACCGGTTTACTGTATAGTGATACATTATGTCGTAATTAAAAGTCGCTCTATCAACATCCTTTTTACACGCTATCGTATAAATTAGATGATAATACATTGTGTAGCAGTAATTGGCGACTGAAGAAGGCCTACATGTTACTGTATTAATTATATTATAACACTATAATATCATGCACTATGATATGTCACTTGTATACTAGAGCGCATTATGTCGAGATCGAAAGTCGCTCTGTCCAATCTTTTTACATGCGATCGTATAAATTGGACGATAATGTCGCAGCATTATAAGATAGCAGGCGTACAGTATGCTGTATACTGAGTCTAGAAATAAATTGCGTCAGAACCAAAAGCCGGCCTTTTAATATTCTTCAACACACTCTGCATACTACTGTATGAATTCGATGATAATGCGAGAACACTGTGATATAATGTACATAGCAGTAATTTGCGACGGAATTGAAAGCCAGAATCTTATCGGTTAGCATTGCAGTCTTTCTACTATAATTAGAAACCGATCAACTAACCAATTCATTAGATAGTTGACAATCTATCATACGATGTACCAGTAAAGCGCTACGATGTAGCAAATACCACAATAGATACCAACTACGACAGCTGTATTACTTTTTCATACTTATAGTACATTGTAGCAAGGAAGAGAGAAATGTACGGTAATTCTATATTTATTCGTTCATTAATTTGTTATTATCAATTGACTCGGAGATAATTAATTAATTAATTAGCTAGTTATAGGGTTATTAACATCAATACATATCGTACGCTGATGCCACCTTACATGGATTAATTATTTTATATGGGCCGTGTAACTCAAAAATGATGAATCAACACAAAATCAATAATATAATTAATTAACGTCAATGTTTCAATACCCATATTTATTTTATACATGAAATTAAATACGTTAAAACTGAGATAGATAGATATTGCAATTATAAATCAACCCATTTACATTATCATTCAGAGACATGATTATAACCAATACACCGAATGCTCGAGCAATGACTAAATCATGCCTACATTTGATCATATTGAAATTGAGGTACATTGTACCATATATTGTAGTTATGCAAATCGAACATATTTACGTCTCTCATTGAAAGAGAATTATTATGATAGATGCACGGAGTAAGCTGTAACTAAATTAATTAATAAAATAAGATATGATAGGTTACAAGCTCATCACAGATACCACATTCTGCACCGTATAATTATTCATTCATTTGTGATACGGTGCATAGATTTGACTAGTTTAATTAGCTAACAAGACAATTTTAAGGTGTATACAGTATCAATTGATACATCATTCTTTTTCCTTGTCGATCATAACAACAAGAAGATTTTACTTCATTTTATAAGAAAAGTTTCAATTCAAGAAGTTCATATCTAAAAATATCTTTACTTCCTATATACGAGTATACACGAACGAATATTACCTATACAGCATCATATAGGTTCGCACTATCGCATAGCAATAATCGCTATTTACAGTAAAAAAATAGTCTCTACATGAAGAGAATATTCACTTTCTCCGACTGTAACAGCAGAGTAATTATATAAATCTATAAGATGAAGATAGCCTACAAATATGTTAGCTTATTTCCTTTAACGGAAACTAAACTAGTCTCATGGATCACAGTATCATTAGGATGAGAATGATTTAATGAATCATGATTACGTGTAACCACTTTTGTTGTAGGTCTCGATGCAAATGGAACCGTTGCAACATTACCGAAATCGCTGCTTGATGCTAACACTTGTTGTGATGTTAAACATTCTCCTAATACCTGATCAATTTCTCGGCCTACAAGCCGCGGACTACAATAAGCTTCTGAATTTGACATTGCTTCAATCTGCCTAGAATAGGAATTAATTCGAGACGTATTCCACAAAAGTTGCTGACTTCGAGACGATGATAACGATTTTTCATTTTTAGATTCTATATCCTGCATTTTCTTAGTCAAGTTTAGTATAATTAAATCATCAGGTAATGGCTCTCGTTTGGGGGATCCATTCCTAAACTCGTTACTGTGTATTAGCGTTGATGATAATATTTCTTCCTTATTCTCAGATTGGGTATCTTGATACTTCTGTTTCTCAGTCATTCCATTAATTCCTTTACGTATTGTCGATTTTGGTAAGGTCTGATTATAACGGATAGATGATGTACTCTTCGATTTACCTTGATCACTTAGCTTTATTTTCCCCAGCGATAATGATGTTATCTTATCACTACTAGCTGATGTAGTTAAAGATTGCGATAAATCAGTCAGCAATTGAGGATGATGTAAATTGTTACTGCTTTTCCCTTGAATAACAGGTAGGGGTGATCCAGGTTTATCAGGTAGTAGAATATTATTCTGGCTATCGATAGCTACACTGTTACTATTTATATCTGTTATAGAAGGTGGTATAGGGCTTGCCAATATTGGTACCTCTTCTTCTTGTTTACTTGGCTGATCATTATCCTCATCAACAGGCGTTGTCGTTACTGCACGATGAAAACTATCATGACTAATGTCACCATCATAATTAACATTTGGTATAGGATGTGTAAATACCTCGTCATTAGAATGGCTCCTACTAGGATTAATAGACAGCGTTATATTACTGTTATTGGTATTGGACCGTACTCTCATCTGAGAAGTTTTCTTAACGTAATCGCTGTCATCATCTGGAATTTGGCTTCGTCGGCTGATACTTCTATCATCCAGTGTTGTTGGAGTAGCAGTAGGGCTATCATAGATCCACGGATTAACTGTATCATTATCATAATTTTTGTCCTTTTTTCGCTTATGATGCTGTACCTTTCTATTTGAGCGATAAGCATTATTACGATGATATTGCCGAGATATATACTGGTTAATGGCAGATTGCGATTGATTCGCAGCATAATATTGGTAAAGGTTATTATAATAATTGCTAGTCATAGATTGTTGATGTTTCCGAGTTGGAGTACCGTGAACGGGATATTTAGGCGACGATTTTGCTTTTTCCTTGGATTTATCGCCGAATTTTAATGTTCCTAATGAATAGCGATCTATATTCCCGGTTAAAACCCATCTTTGCTGATGTAATTCATAATTGTAATGGTCGGAAAGATCTTTTGTAGTGTTTGTTTGATTTTGTGATGGTATCCGACCCTCTCGAGTTTTCTGCGACTGTCGAGACCGATTGTAATTCGGCTGAAGATCAACGGACTTACATAGTGCCGGTAAATAGAAGAGGTGATTACCAAATGAGTTTTTCGGTAAAATGAACTAACAGCAAAGAACAAAAAATTAATGAGTGAGACAATTAAACACAACTATCTTGTAATCGATCTCTATCTAGAATTATTAAACGAATGAAATCGACATATATCTCAATAACAGCAAACCCTACAAATACTCGTCATATTATTATTTGTATTACGGTACTGTTTTAATGTTTTAAAGCAAATTTCTATTTATTCCATTAAAGTATCAGTACGTTATCTAGCGATAATATAGCAAGAGATGGAGTTATCGTATAAAGTCTATAGGACATTATATTGAACCTAATCTGCATCAGTATTTTTCAACGTAAATATCATCTTATAATTAGAGGCTAAATAAAAACGTTTGAGCTTTGCTCCGTAACTGAACTTACGTTATCGTTCATTCCTTCTTGCTTTTGCGCTAGACGAGAATTGACAGGGCTAGTGTTTGGTTTATTTAAATAAATACTATTCATATTATTATCGTGATCATCACTAAACGAAATCATGACTTCCTGATTATATATAGCAGGACTTGTACTTGGCTTCTTATCATAAACATTATTCCTCATTATTTCATGGGTAGTTGCGGTTAAAAGTTCTTTAGATTCTACAGAATTTGTACTCAATATTGAAATAGGATTAGTATCCTTTTCATTGTTATTATTAGCATCAACTGATTGATTTGACTCTATAGGATTTTCAGCAAATACTTTAGTGCTTGTAATGGTGGAATTTGTGGGGTAATTGCCATTAGTGAACGGAGTCTGGATACGATCTGAATCTTCTTGACATGATAATTTTGATTCATGAGAGATAGAATCTGTCTGATTTTGTTGATACAGCTGACACATTGCAACTTCATTAAGAGCTCTAAAATATAAGTATAATAATTTAATAATTAACCAAAATGGAAACTTGCTTAAGGAATAAAGGCCCTAGACAATAACGCATGAACATATAGTACTACAATATTAACTAGCTTCATCAATTATATTCCGGCTGTAATTAAGTTGTATTGATTCCTTTTCTGTACCTCTAGTTTCTAGATCTATTATTAGTAGTAAATGTAGTTGCTATGATAATAATTCTAAACTAAAGTTGTTGCGCAATAAGACAGTTATGAAAAGAATTTATGTTTTATTTACTTTGCAACATGATCTGGAGATTGATTTTGAACGTACCTTTCATTCATGAAATTTGATGCCTTATTGGGCGTCTGCTTTTGATTCCGTTTTCCTCTAGTGGGCATTCTTGATTGGTTGCGATTTGATGGAGGTCTTGGACTCAATCTTTTCGCTTCAAGAATTAATTCACTATTCATTGTAGCAGCCATATTTGGTTTAAAATGGTAGTAGATATATAATAACCGTTTTATAGAGGAATTATTTCACAGTAGTTAGAATGTAACTTTTTCCAAATCACGGTCCGTTGTCGACTTAAGTAATTTCTTTCTTTGATGTTACGCTGCTGATTATCAATATTATACCAAATCCAGCGTTGGAAATTTTTAATTTCATTAATCTTAGTATTAAGTGGTTAATTCTGAAGATACAAAGAAAAAAGAGTTAATTTGATTAATTAGTTTTTGATAGTCGAATTTTTGGTAAATATGATATTATGAACAATAGCAAGAATATTAAGCGAGAAGAGTGTTTAATTTAAAAGCTGGAATACAAGCCGATGATGACATTAGAGGTAATCAAAGTAAGGTCGTTACTGACAACATTTTAAAAATGATAGTAGCAAACTGATTTCCAACAGCAGAATTAAGGCTAACTTTTTGTCGTCGATAATTACGACTATCTATAAGAATAACAGTAAAATTGGCCTCTTCCAGTTCTAATTTATCATAAAGTCGTTATTTAAACTATAATAAAATCAAGATACAAATGGATATCGTATAGGAACTAACGATATTAAAGTACATAATTGTTAACAGTTATCCTAGTAGCCTTTAATTCATATCGATTGACTCTTACACCTTCATGAAGGTCCTTATAATGCAAGTTCATCTTGAAAATTTACATATTAGTCAACTTTGTAAACGATCAAAGCGTTTAAAACCTACTATAACAGAACTATCGTCATGTATTTCATTACGGATCAAGTAATAGCTTAACTATCATTACGGAGACAAAAAATATTAATTCTGGGTGGCAGCTATGATTTAACCGATTGACAACATAGGATAATAAGCTGTAAAGCACTGCAGATCTACACAGAGTGTGATGTCATCATTAATTATTATTGACGAAAAATCTTTTTAAATTCACGATGTGAATAATCCAAATCATCTTAACTATATCGAACTTTAGATAAGGTTTCAGTTATACCGGTAATCACTCATTTATAGCTTAATGATTGATTTCTTTCGAAGGATTTTCACGACTATACTACATTTCTATCTCATCCATTTTGTAATCCCTGTCTATTCTTGTCATTACTTTGTCATGGTAACGGTTCAATGGCGACAGTCAATAGCTTCGGTTATCTACTATACAAGGACTGGTGCATGAGCCCGTATTCTATATTGTAGTACATCGTCCAATTAAACAGTTAGAATTGAAGTACAAGACGATACTATTTTGATAGTCAGTGGGAAGGAAAGACGTCCTAAACCCATTTCCTATCATAATAACTAATAAGTTATTGGATGATAATACACAGATATTAGGAAATGCTGAAGTAATGGTAAAATTAAATTGCTACATAGCTAGTGATAACTTCTTCCTTATCGTAAACTACGTAATGATTTCACTATGTTGAGATTTTTTTTAAATACTGGATATAAATGAACAAGCCAAGATGGCAAATGGTGATTTAAATCAAGCATAAACAGCTCTGAATATTGTCTGACTTTTATATAATTGTTATTGCATAAAATAAAAATTCAATTGATCGCTATCCAGCATCGTTTTAATCATGGGTAGACTCTTGCACATTCAAAGTAGTCAAATCTTATTTCTTCATTATTTTGTCAGTTTTTTTATCCCACATTTATCATCGTTGCGACATAATAGAAATCACGTAATAGAAGTTAAAGCCTTATTCTTTTGGCATGTTCTTTCTTACCACTTGCTGGAAAGCTTGAGTAAAATAAAGATAACTTTTTTCCGAGCGAAAAATTTCTTATGCACTATCTAACCTAAATCTCTAATGTTCAAAAAGAAAGCCAGCAAGATTTAGATATAACCTAGAACAACTTCAAGTTGGAGTGACTACTATACATCGCGTATCTATTACGAGATATAATTCGTATTTAAATCGTATAAAATGCGACAGAAATTACTACTTATTTTTATCACATTATGATATAAATTGTGATAACCTAATGACTAAAATTACTATTACAGCAGTCGACTGCCGTTTTATTAAATCAGTACAAAACACTACACTAGCTACATATTGTAGGATATTGATAGTTTTTAGTTTAGTGTATTTACCATTATATTGCACCAAATTCAAAAATTAGAAATAACAGGTGGAACAACTATGTTACTTCAAATAGAATTGAATAAATCCAGCATTCTTGACCGCTAATTTCCTCTAGTTATAAAAATCGACTAGCCAAGTTTACGGTGGAGTCTATGGACCACAAAAGTGTTAAAATGTTACTATGTGGGCACAGTTAAGACAGATATGCTTTATAAGGATAAACGTCATGGATGACGATGGTGATGGGACAAAAAATATAATTGCGTAAAAGAATGAAAAGAAGAGAAAACAGAACGAGATCATCAATCACCTCTAATAAAATTAGTCAATAAGTAGCAATTGTAGCAATTGTTTTCAGTTGTCATTTGCATACAAAGAATAGATTATTCATAAATCCATTATAGTACTTATTGATTCTTGATTAGAATAGCTTATAATAAATTTTAAATTAAGATTTTTGCATAGACATAAAAGGAACTATTGTTTGCTTTAGTTTAAAACTGTTGATTATAAAGAAACTACTTCTCTACCATAATGGATAACTTATAGTATACTGAAGGCAAGATCGTAGCTATATGTAATTTATCAATGGCATAACTATAGAGTAAAAAATTATTCATATGTGCTGTTTGAACAAAAATAAAGCTAAATTAATTTGCAATAGGTATATAGTAAAATAAGCTTATACGCGATATGGGTACAAAAGTGATCATCACGAACCTACGAAATTGAACTGATGAGATTACTTTATATGAGTCAAATTAGACCAATTAAAGCTAAGGTCATTAAACCCAGCTGAGAGTTAAAGAATAAATCAACCATAGGTGCACCGTTGCAAAGATGATAATATTCAACTAGTAAACAAATTAAATCATTATGATAGACAGTTCAGAAAATTTATGCAATTATGATATTGAATTTCACCTATTCACGGCTTTCTTATAAGTCTGCAATAAATAATAATTTCAAAAATAAGCTTTATATATTTGTTTTATACATCATTTGCTTTGTCTATTCCTACTGTTTAGGGACAAGCATCTCCATATTTAGTGCAAATACATTCGATTTTGGGCTATAAAGAATTTAAGGAGCTTTCAATCATTTATATTTCAATAAATGTTTTCGCAAAGATTTAGCGGCAGTATTATTAACCGTTTGTACAACATAGAGATAATAGCCAAGTGCGCTGTTTAGGATACTCTGTATTCTAAGAAGTTATACTTTGATGGCTATTCTAATTTATAGCATTTACGACTTGATAGGGTAACTACCGGTACCGTATACTCGTATGAGTATTAAGACATAATTATCTTTCACTTATCCTATTCTATGCTTGTTGACTAATGAGATATCGCAAGCAATTACAATATATTACGTGTTTCAATCCTAATTTATTCCCTACCCTCAGCGAAGCGAATAAGAAATTAACCAAATTTTCTATATTTTTATTTTATGGATGAGAATAATTTGATATTGGATCAATCAATTGATTGTTAATTTTATATACCGCACTTCAATGATTGGATTTTGATTAAGATTGAGATCAAAAGTAAAATCAACGTTATGTACTAATATACAGTAGACTACTAGATACGACCGGTTATCTCCGACAATACTATAGTACAGTATAAGCAGCGAATAATCTCCTACCCGTATTTTCTTTTGGTTAAAATGAAGACTGAAAGTAAAGGAATTAACGTTTTGTTGTATAGTATGATAATTATTATGCTCCCAAGTACTGTGCCGACTTGATACAATCCAACTTTAATATAACTATCACTACTGCTTTAACTATCTTTTGATCTCGAACCTTTGTAACTTATTATTCAATGTTGAAAGATTAATGAATATAAGTTGCTCCTAGAGCTATTATAAAGGCAAACGAGAAAATGTATCAGCATATATATGTTGTTTTGAAAGAAAGGATTTATGCAGTACGTAGTTGCTTTCTGTTAACGGCGTACAGTAGGATTCACGTAATGCATTCATTTTACTGTATTCGATATAAGTTATAAATACAGCTTCTAAAATGGAAGCACGTTATGCATGGTTATTTTAGGATGAAAGAATTCACCTTAGTTTGCAGTTAATTTATAAACTTGCTACAGTACTAACAATTTTATATTACCTCCGAGTTGTCATCAATCACTGACGAACAGACCAAGTTGATAAAGCATACTGAATTCTATATTGCCATACGTATTCAGGATGTTCTCACAACTTTACTGACTACTACAGTATATGTGTGCGTACTATTCCATGGGATATGCAGAGATGCTCAAATAATAATAGTAGACTTCCTAAATCAATAGGAAATTGTTCCACGCTGCAAGGTGCTCAGCATTCTCTCCTGAGATGACTCATAAAAGTTAAGTCGTAGGATTCTGCCGCTTTTCTTCTTTATAGTTCCATTATCATGTAACAGAATGTGAGCACTTCTTAAAATTTTTGGCGGTTATAAGGAAGTTAATAAGGATTCTAGCGCAATATCTAATTTTTAAATTTCAAATAAATTACGAGTTAATTTTCTATTAAATATAGCTTTGACGATTACTAATTTCGTGATGGAAACTGGAAAATATTTTATTGTCAGAGTGCAGACATTGATCATAATACATACAAATATACTATCATATTTTAGATGCATCTATTAAATAAGTTGATATTCATGAAGGAGGATAATAAAAATGAAGGACAGCCATGTCTGGAGTTTTACGCCCTTTTTTTCCCAAAAAGTATTAGGTAAAACTATCACCTACAGAATTCTATTAAACGCTTTTTCAGGTGAAAGTTTAGTTCCATTACTGCATTGAAAGAATTTATATCCTGACTTGTGTATATACGTGTGCGCATACGGTATCATTTATACAACATGATAACAAATTGCTTTCGTCCTATAATTAGGGAGTAATTTCGCTACTACGGTATTAACATAGACTACCTTTACCTTCAAGTACATACATCATATCAGTGCAAGGATTTTAGAACAAGATTTCAATCTTTATCAATATGATTTCTCAAGGTTTCAATATCATTTGCTATACGAGCATATTTTTAGGTTATCCTATCTAGAAGTCCATATTTTACAAATATTATGGTTTATGAAAAATACGTTGTTGGCAAATTTTTCTTTACTCATTACAGACGCAGAATTAACTGTCATCGGCATTTCCTGCTAAACATTGATCTAAATGTTGATTTATAATTTGATTGCTTGTATTTGATGGAAAACAGTGATTACATACAGGGCAGTAGATCAATAAACTATCGTCGGATTCGTCTGCAGAATCTTCATCACTATTGGCAGTCTTATTTTGTCCATTTTGTTGAAAGGCATCAAAAACTTTCAGCTGTCTATGTCTTTTAGTATTATTTGAGTCAGTATGTATGTCTTTATTATGTCTCTTATTTCCCGCTTTTTGCTTTCCATTACGTACCGGTATACTGCTGCCATTCATGCTACGATGAGTAGGCGATACGTTTGTAACATCAGAGATGACGACTATATCGTCATTATTGCTGCTATTATTTTGATTATCGTTTAATTTTTCACCTTGCTTATTCTCTTGTCCATGAAGGTTATTTTGTTGAGTAGTAAAATAATTTCGAATAGATAATGGTTTAGTAAAAGCTCGTTTAAGCAGACGTTCGTTAACATGATCGTCATCTTCAGTAATTAGTTTAGCACCACCAACCACTGTTAACAAGACAGCATCAGCAAGTGCATAACAACTACCTTCTTGCAAAACAGTTGGTAAACGTGTCGCAGAGTCAAGCAAACCCTGATTTTTTAACAACCGCTGTTGTACAGCCCATTTTAAGACTGTCGTCACTTCGCTAATAATTGGTTCCGGATAACGAAGTCCAACAATCTTTCTACCGTCATCGAGCTGAACTCGTACTATTCTCAGTGTTTGTTGTTCCTTGCTTAAGTTATACTTTCTGGCGCAGTTAGTTAACATCGACTCCAGTAATGACAACATTGGTATAATACCACCACAGATAATATGTACACGATTAATTCGAATCCCAACAGTACAATATGAACCGAACTTGCATGATCCACCATGAATACATGCCAGCTCTGTAGAGTTATACTGTTCTTTCCATCCATTTTCAGCATCACTAAGATCTAACTTGTGATATTTTTGTAACAAATCCTTACTATTTTCCATATAAGACGAAAATCCGGTATTAGGCCGAACGACGCTAAAAACATCTAGATGAGCCTTATACAGCGCAAAAAGATAAAATTTTCGGTTAAAATAACGATTACGAGAACAATAAAACCCATCTAATGGATCCGTCGCTTGTTCATGGTATAATTTTAATACTGTTGGCCAATCGATTCCTCTATCAACACATAACGTAACTTGCTTCGTAGAAACATTACCTCGTTTAACTTCAGTAAAAATCTCTTTTGGTGAATCAACCATAACAATTGATGTTCCTTTGATGTCGGTTACACCTTCGTTGTATTTCCCTTCTTTTTTAGCTCGTTCAATACTAGTTGTTAGACATTGACAAAAGTAAGAAAAAATTAAATTTTGTCTTTCGATAGTCAGACCAAGGATACGGTTTAGAAATCGCTGTACATCTGTTGCATCTTTTTCAGGTACACGAGCTTCGAGGGAGGCAGTTAGTCCCATATCGAGTAGACAATGTTTCATATCGATATAAAATTGAGAGATGGTGTAACTACTATCATCCAGTGTACTTGCTTGTAATATACTTGAGAAAGTGATATTTGGGCAAAGGACACCTCTTTGAATGTACGAATACATCAATTTTAAAGCTGAACGGCCATAACTTGTATTAAAATTAAATTCGGAGAAATCTGCGCCAGTTGCTGCCCGACGATCACCTCTTGTTAATGCACCTAATGAGAGTAATCTTTGAGCAACTGCAGCAACAAATCTTTTCTCACCACCTACATTTGTAGTCATTAATTTATAGATTGGCGCACTAGATTGATTTGAACGATGAGATCGACCAAGTTGTTGTACAGCTTTTTCAGCACTCCATGGTAACTCCATAGTAATATGAATACGACGTCGATTATTAGCTACACGTGTATCGCTATGTAATGATATACCAGTGCTAGCGGCATCTGATAAGACAGCAATTAATTTTTTACCTTGCATGAATAGATTCTTTTCCCTTACATTGAGACTTTCTAAGCCATGATCGCTACTACTATCAGTATCACGAAGTTGATAGACAGGCGTTGAACTACCATTGATACAAACTATTCGGCCACGGCGTCCAGTCATTTCAGCGACACAATTAGTACCACCCAATTGTTGAATTAACTCATCTAAGGAGCAATTCGGTAAATTAATATTATCGATGAATTGTAGTAAGGCATCGGCAGCATTTTTACACCATGCATTAATTTTAGTGCCTTTGGATGTTTTCTCTTCGATTGGAAAATGTTGTAAAATAAACCGTACTAAAATTTCCTTCGCAGTGGAGATATAGCCATGTGTGTTGTTCCCTTGGCGAGTAATTTCATTGTCTAAGCTAGCTTCTCCAGTGGTTTGCAAACCGATAACAACACAATATCCTTCATCCAGAGCAGCTTTGGCTTCCCGTACAATGGCTGGTACTTTTAAAGACATACAAAGTTGTTTAAAAAATCGTTGATGGCAACTCCAATAAACAGTCCATATACGACTTGCGGAACTTTTAGTGTGGCTGATTGCTTTTTTAATTGCTTCAGCTAATTGTTGCCAGACTCGAGCAGATAAATTATACACTCTAATTTGTTCATCGGTTAAATTAATTTCAACAGTGTGAAATTCAGCAGATTCAAAGCTTAGACCTCTTGAAACATACATTCCTGCAGCTTTCATTTCCATGGCTAACATTTCTGATGCGCCTAGACCACGTGTGGTCATGGCTTGGATAAAATTTTCAACATTTTTAAAGGCTGTATTATCACCCCATAGTCCAAGTCTTTCCATAAATGCCATATTCTTAACATTAGTGACACCGGTAGCGCTGCAATAGACAACGCGAGCCTTAGGCAATTGCCTTTGTAAGGCAATTGCAGCAACTGCAGCTTTGGTACTGGCAGCTTCATTGCCGGGTATAAATTGTTTCGCTTTATGGCACTCATCAAAGATTAAGCAACCATTAAAATTATCGCCACACCAATCCAGAATTTGTTGTATTCGACTACCTCGTGTATGGGTTGGATTGAAACCACGTTGACCTGATGATATCAACGTAGCATAAGTATTAAATAGAATGCCATCTTTGACTTGTGGAGACATGCCTGCAACTCTGGTCTCACGATCTAACTCTTGACAGCCATCAATGACCTTAATAAAGCAATTTATATCTTTTAAATCTCTTTCAGCATCTATCCTTAAATCGTGAGATGTGCTAAACCATAAATGTTTTCGTCGGCCACGGACATAATTATTAATAATGATACCAGCAATTTGTCTTCCTTTGCCTACTCCAGCAGCATCTCCAAGATAGAATCCAGCTCTAGCACCCTTCGGCAAGATCATCTGATGGCGTTGGCATGCATGTAAGATACCTTCTAATTGCAAATCACTTAATTTACAATCAAGTATTAAATGTGGTGGTAAGGCATCTTTTAGCGGATAGTTAGTAGGCGGCAGGATTTGAGCAGCTAAAGAAGCAGCTTCGACAACATTTCCCGGATGACTTTTGTAGTTAGTAATATCACCTAAGGAGTGGCATCGATAGGGCAAGAAAACTTCTCTATTTTTCTCTTGGCCATAATCTTCATCGGCAATTCGATTGATCTCTTCATCATGATGAGCCATAAGTAGGCAAGTAGTTGATTTTTTACCAGGGTACAACTGCAAATCTGCAATTAATAATTTAACTTTATTTTTAAAGTTCACTTTGGCGCCAACAAGCTATTAGCAAACATTTCGTGGGCCAGGGCATGATTGATTTACGGTCCAGATCAAAGTTTGATTTTCACCTATAGTGTGCACTGTACTGTGTATCGGTACAGTAGAAACGTGCAGTACAATACTAGAGAAGAGTAAAACATAAACAAGTTTGTTCATGTTTGTTTGAATCAAAGACAGTAGAGCCGGTTAGGGTAGGCCAGTACTGAGTCTGCGTGGGAAGGATGGTTGGACAGCATCATTGCGCACAATCAGGATTTTTCTTTGGTGATGCGCTACAGTATAGTGTACTGTACACTGTACACTGTAAGACCGGCTACACACCACTTGGTGAGCAGTCGGAATGACATCATGTTTGAGCAAGACTGCACTCAGTATACTGTACGTGTCGATCCGCTCCACTTTGTATCTGTGTAGCATTTTTGATTTATTTTTGAATCTAATCTACAGTACTGTATAGTGCATAGACCGGTAGGCACCTACTGTACTGTAAGTTGCATCTGTTGGAGGGTAGATGTGGTGAGCGGCATTGCGGCCAATATCAGAGGCTAGTCCTTGTTCATCAACATGGTCATAAAATTGGGTATGCGACACGATCCAAAAGTTGCTAGTCTGTTACTGCTGGTGTTGCTGTACTCAGTGTACTGTATGACCAGTGGAAGACAAAAGAACCTTTTGTCCGCTGGTTATCTCCAGCTAAAAGTGGGTGAAGTTGCTGGAGTAATCAATCAATCACAATGTGTTTTACAGTACAATGTACTGTACACTCATGGTACCACTAGATACGACCGGTCGCGTTCCGGTCTGATAGTGGTCCATGACTCTTACTCTACAGTGTACAGTGTACAGTGTACACTCACGGTACCACTAGATACTGTACGACCGATCACGTTCCGGTCTTGTAGTGGTCCATGACTCTACAGTACTGTAGACACCAGTACAGAACCGTACTGTACAGTACAGTGTACAGTATCTTTATACTGTACAAACCCCTGACTGCTGTACTGTACACTCATGGTACCAATAGAGGCGACCGGTCGCGTTCCGGTCTTGTAGTGGTCCAGGATTGTACTCTACAGTGTACAGTGTACAGTACTGTAGACAGTGGTACAGAACCCTACTACTCTACAGTATCTTGATACCTGTACAAATCTCTGTCTGCACTGTACACTGTCATAACGTACAGTAGGACTGCGTGGCCAGTACGTAGTAAAGGACCACGGTTACCATGTGTAGTGACACTACTAGTGAGTGATGACAAGCTCGGCCACTCTGACTGGCTTCCATTGAAGTAGACGTATTGGACGTCTTGGAAAAATTTCACCAAGCCAATCGATAGAAGACTATGGCGGATATCAATAGCACTAGCAGCGAAAGATATTCCAGCTTGGATAGCATCGCTGTCTCTGAAGAAGATATTGCCTTAGGTAGTGCTAGTCTAACTGGTGATGATATCGTTGAAGAACAGGATGGTATTCATGAAAATTCACTCCATGACGACAATAAGGCACAAGAGAGTGTTGAAGAGCAATCATGCCAAGTTGAATTGAATCTCAGTGAAAAGGGTGATGATCTGGACGAAAATCAACAATCCAATCACGATCTTCCTCCTAGCCCAGTGGATCATGAACCCAAAAATGATGATGATACTGGCGATCCAGATAGTATTGCGTTGGTTAGTTATACAGTGGATGAAAGTGGTACAGGTAATCAGTTTAATGTTAATCAAGCCTTGATCCATCATCAGATTGCTTTTCTACTTTATCTCTATTACATCGAATGTGGTCTTGTTCCATTTCATCTCAGTCATTTTATCACCACTGCTCTTTTTTCCTTCAATTCAATTAATCAATAACGGATAAAATAGCTTGAGTACACGATACACTGTCAAACTACCTAAGTAGACTGGATCAACATAGATCCTAATAATGGCCCCTAGTTTTCACATTTTACCTCGTTGATCCATTTTGTCATGACATCCAAATGGATCTGTGCTCTCGTCCACAGTACAGTACATGATGTTCTCATCGGTAGTTATCGCATGATACTGTAGAATCGTCTTTAGCCCTTGGGGTACTGTACCGTACGTATGGGGCAACTTTTGAATGGCGCAAGACGACCATTTCCATACTTTCTATTTCACCATAATAAGACGTATGGAAGACAAGTATCCTCTCGATTGTAACGCTATATCATCGAATTTTTCTTTTATGGTTGGTATTCATGTGGCTTATTCAGTTCGACTGGAATCCAATGGATATTATAGCACATTTGGGCAGTGTGATTAGTATATTATTGAAATCGTTGATACTATTTTCATCATCTTCTATGAAGAAATAGGTCAATCTCGACGCTGCTGAGCAATGCATGCTTTTACGTTTATATGTGTAGAGAGAAGACTAATATACTTCGATTACATCCAACATTCTAATTGTAATCGAGAATTTATTTTGCGAGGGGTGATCGACCAGTTACTGAAGGACTTGCTAGCAATAAATTAATTATACCAGTAATAAATAAATCAAACTTCGACTACATACGGTATACACTAATTTGTATTCTTGGCTAGATAATTCATATTGTCTTGTGATTTCTACCATGATAGCCATGTATTCATTCCATCTGCTAAAGAATGGCCAAAGGGGAGCAATCGATGAAACAAATAATTCACAAGGCTTCACTATTGAAAATAAGATTATACAATGGTTTTTTTTTTTCTACACTCTCAGTAGATGATACTGTATTCCATTACTCTATGCTATTATCCACTTACTAATTCCATCATTAAGATATCAATGTGCTGCATTAAACAGTTATTTGCTATGGTACGGTCAGCCATAGTACTGTACTGTATAGTTGCTATCCTTTTTCGGCCTTTAATCCCTAACATTCAATTCTTCGATTGTTTACCATGTATCTATCAAAGATTAAAACTTATCGTTAATATACTGTACTAATAGCTAAGTACTATCCATGTCTTCCAATCCAATCCAATCTGGATAATACATGCTAAGTTGAAGATTTTCTCTCTTCCTCATCAATATCCCCTTGGCTGTGATGTCAACATAGACAGATGTCTATGGTAGTACTGGTTTATTGCAATCTCGTGACTGAGTAAATATAACGTCAACGTAGCTACACTTTATTGCTCTATCGTGCGATTCGTGCCAAGAAAGCACCAGGAATGATCTAATTCATATCTTTTGTGTATTTTCTTTCATTTCTTAATTATTAAAATGGGATTCAAAAAGAATGATTCTGATTATTATTATATCGACTAACTGCACTACTTACTCTACTGGGTGTTTTAGTTGTTGAAACTCGCGTAAAAGGCCAAGAAAATAGCCTTACATCTCCTCCTATTGTTCCATATGATTTGGTCTATGTTGATAATAGTCAAGGAGAAGAATTATCTCAGGATCAAATTCCACTTGTCCACTATGATGCGATTGATACTAAAGTTGTTAGTCATACCAACGGAACTGCAGATGTGGAAAACAATCAAAGTGAAATTCTGGATTCTAATCAAGTTAACGGTCTTCTGCAAGGTGAGAAAATTCGATATATATATATATAACATATACAGTACAATTAATTCTACAATATCGAGTAGATAAAGTATCATCCTACCCTGACACAGCATGGCAATAATCATACAGCTTTTTCTCTTACCTATATGGCAATGACAGCATAATCATTTTCATTCATGCTAACAAATTCATGCATAGCGAACTATTGACAATACCACAATTGTTACTCCTTTAAATAGTGCTTTCTATATACATGGAATGATTAATTAGTTCTATTAAACATAGACTGTACCTCATTTCTTAGACTATACGCGTATAATATCTCTAGTAATCTGGTTTATAAGAAATGTATCAAATATTCGTTATGGACATTGTAAATTCTATATTCCGTTACAGTTTCCTTTTTATTTATATTCTTTAACTCTAAAGAAAATTATTTGTACAACAACAAAGATTTTACCTTCAGTTTTGCTTGATAAACTATTTACAATATTTATGGATATCATCTTTTAGTATGAAGTGCAATAGGGTAGCGGCGATTAGTTCTGCATCATAAATGGGAAGGACCTAATACTATATGTGACCACGTTTGCGATGTACTTGTATAACTAAAGTGCGTCTGCACATGTTCTACTACTGCCTTTACTGGACATATTTTAACTGTAGATAGTGTCGCAGTGGTTAAAAATTTCAAAGTGATTTGTAGAATCACTGTTAGTAGTTCAAGAAATGATAGTTTTAAATGATAAAATACGCGTATAGTCCCTTCTCCGTATATTTGTATCTTACTGGCTTATAGTTAAAGCATACACATTTTTTTTATCCAAGAACTTACTCTTATGACAGTTTTTCAACTAATTATATGATGATATAATAAATATAATATTACATTTATATAGTTTCTGCACAGTAGGTATTGTTAATCATAATTTCATTTACCAAAATTTGCTAATGAACTGAAATCTATTGAAATCAGTTTACGCTGTGAAGACCATCTCATGGGATAATATTAGACTTTAGTGAACTGTTACAATGATGAATTATTTATTTAAACTTGATTTAGATGCAGTGTATTACATTACACTTAACGCCAAATAATCACCTTTATTGTTTTCCTCTGCAATCTAAGCATAGAATTGACAAATGTGTAGTATTTTGTGCCAACGTTAATATATCTCATACTGTATTAATATTAATAATTCGCATGATAAGCGACAGCTCAAGCTTTTAAACTTTTGTATAAATGCAACTATTCCTGTATCCATACAATTCGCAGCGTTAAGAAATTAGATTTTTACTCTTACTATAATGGTCAAAATTTCGAAACTTCTAGGAATCGTTAATTCAAATCGTTACAGAAATTGAACGAATGTAACGCTTCCAACTAGATCAGTTATTAATTAATAGTATGGTATACAGTTGTCTCGTTGCTGTGCTGATTAAATGTTTGTAATACTTTTTAGACAATGAAATATTGGAATCGAAAAGTCCTACTGTAATGGAAAGTAGTGATTCACTAGCAGAAAAAGAGACGTCAGATGCAATAAAGGAAGAGAACAGTGAGAATGATATCAACCACACACCAAAAATTGACGAGCATGGTACAGTATATAGTATTTCCCTTTCAAGATTACATCATTTCATAATCTAAATTACTATAAAGATCATATCTCTGTAGATGGTACTGTAAGTTTGCTGAGTAAAATAATTCCACCTTAAACCGTGCGTTTATATATCTAGCAACTGCATATTATTTATATGATTTATTCTGTTTGTGTATAAAAACCTAGTTATCCTTCATTTTAATCTAGTGTAACTTTATATTTTTGAGTCTTATGCAGTTGCTTTCATCTGATATGATGATGCCTTGTCTTTTATTAGTTGATATACCTATTATAGATAATGCTACTTTAGCTGCGGAAGAAAAGGAAAAAGGAAATATCGCTTTTAGAAAAAATGATTTCGATGAAGCTTTAGAGCACTATAATAAAGCAATTAAGCTTGTTCCTTCTAATATTATCTTTTATATTAACAGAGCAGGTAAGGGTATGATTTATTAGCATTGTACAATTTGTTATAAGAAAGGAGATTATCTTATATTGTACATACACTAGTTCTTTTCTAAAAATGTAATTCACGCTTGCAATGCTTCACCTTTCAGCCACTTACTACAATTTGGAGGAATATAAAAGAAGTATCAAAGATGCCGAATATGCCTTAGAGTTGGGATCGAAACAAGATGCTGATACAAAGTTAATAGCTCGTACATATTCTCGCCTGGGCTACTCGTATAAAAAATTGAATCAACTTAGTTTGGCAATTACCTACTTTAATTCATCGTTAAAGTTACGTGATAGTACAAAGATAAGGAAAGAGTGTTTAGATGCAGAATCGCAACTAATCAAGCAAAAAGCTGCAGACCTTAAAGAAAAGGAGTTGCGGCTATTAAATGAAAAGAAAAGAAATGAAAGCACAGGAAAGGTATGATTGGCCGTTGTGGTAGATTGTCACTACAGTATTGTATTTCTCAAGTGCAGTGTGTCATGTTTTTAAAATAGGACAACCCTAAAGCGAATAGAAAAGGAAAGCAACCAGCTAAAGTTATTACAACACAACCCCCAGCGGAATCATCACTTGACGTTAGCGTAGAGCCAATCGCTGAACTACCTTCTTCTGTATTAAATCAGAAAACAGCAGAAAATCATCCAAAGTTAGCCACACAGATGTTAAATCATTCAAGTAATGAAAGAGTGATGGATAGTGGATTAGAGTGGGATAGTGGCGAATTTGATGGTTCCGAACAGCCTTGCGCAGATGAAGAACATAACGATAATCCTAACCATGATAACAAAGAAAGCTTAGTTTCTTCAAGACCTAATAATAACACAAAAGGATTAAGTAAAATAGAATTGATGAAACTACAAATGAAAAAGGACGGAGTTACATCACCAAAAGTAGAAACCAACTCCAATGAAGGTAATGTCATTGATCTCTATTAGTTATTACTTGAATCGTTACCAAAGCTCAAATACACATAAAAATAAAAATATACGTCTTGGAAATTTTATTAACCAGAATCAATGGAGGACCTAGATCAGGAACCTGATGACCCCGACAGTATTTGGCGTAGACGAAGACTTCCAAAGTCTTCAAGTTCGACAAAAGATCTCAACACCAGTAGACCTGGTATTCGTAGAGTAAAATCAGAAACTGGAACGAAAGTTAGGTCAGCAGATAGTGAACAACCACCAAAAGAACAATTAGATAGAACTGTGGCAGAAAGAGAGGAAGCGTCATATGACGCACAAAATTCAGATCCCTATGGCGTCCTTAGTGATGTTAGTTTTTAGTTAGATTAAATTATATTTTATTACTCTAATCGTAAAGGTATTTGTATTTTTTTTACTGGTAGAAGATCGAGCCGTTGAAACAAGACGAATTAAAAGGTTTGCTAGATGCAAAGTCTTCATTGTAGAATGTAGTACTTCTTACTTCATTACTGTTCTTGTTGTTGCTATATGCACGTATTAAAATGTAACAGTTGTAGATAGAAAAAAGTTACATGTTCCTCCTTAAAAAACTTCAATATGCTTGGGTTGAACATAGGTCGTGACACTGGTAGGCATCATCCTGCTGATTTAACTAGAGGAGTCGTATACGATGCTGATGTAAGTACATTTAGTAAGATCGCACAAATAATTTTTATAGCTAAGCATGTGGAGTGACCAAGTATGAGCTTTTCAAATAAATAAATGTCTCGAGGGACGTGATAGTAGGTTTAAGTAAAGTCTTTATCGTCAACATATCAGACGCTAACTCATTGAAAGAACTGTGTAAATATTTTATAGTTCTTATCATGTTTTGGAATTTGTATACCCAGTATCTAGGGACAACACGTCTAGTCAACGATGTGGAATGGTCAGCAAAGACTCGAATAAATTTAGCCAAAGAAGCTATTGAGAGGATAAAGGTAGTAATACTTAAGTAGTATTGTATTTGTCGTTGAGTGATTATGATCTCTCATCTATAAATTTCTGGTTCATTTTCCTTTATGACATTTACATAGGTAACGTCTTCGGACTTTCAGAGTTGTATGGATGTCGAAATTGTTATATCTGTCCGTAGCATAATCGTTTTACAGTCATCAGATAAGGTAAAAATTTTCTCTGTTTGATGAAATTTGAATTCTATTTTATAGTCGTTGTCAGTATTATGGTAAAAAATTTCGTTAATTTAGCCATACAATCTATTGTTACTTAAATGCCCTATTGATATTCACCAAAATGTAGAAATTGCTCGTTGAAACTCTCTTGCATAACGTTTCGTACATCGCCGATATTGGAAATATTGTGGTATTGATGACCAGACGTCACAAGCGGAAAGAAGAGGACTTTGTGAAAGAAAAGAGTGGAAAAGCCATGATTGAAGTTTCCACTTCTGATTTTGACGAAGATCCGAAGGGTTCTCAAGTAGTCAGCCACGTTTTTAGTTCTCAATATGTATGTTTAGTTTGTTCGTTCTTAAATTTTTGTAGATATGGTTATTTATTTTGAGTTTTACTCAGGATATTAAAAAATAAATCAATTTTGATCCTATTGAAGGCACGGTCAATCGCCAAATCTATTGGACAGGCCTTTGACATTGCTTATGAAGAATTTGTTAAAGAGAAGGGCTGGAGTCAGGAAGAATTAGAAAAAGTTGAATACGAGAATGTCTTAAGTTGTCAACGAACCTCAGTAGAGGAACTTGGTCGACTGTCAGATATTAATTGCAAGAAAAAGGTACAATCATTGAATAGCTATTTTTACTATAATGGCAAGCAAGTACATGTAGTTAGGAATTGTAATCAGTCAAATAGTTTTACCTTTATTGGGACAAGTAAAATTTCTACCGTACAAATAACAGTAGTTGTTAATTTTTTTAATTTTATTTTGGATGTGAATTCTAGGTTGTAGTACGAAAAAAACGAAATGAAAATCTAGGAATAATGATAATACCTTCCGGCTGGGGATCATTAATACCAGCCCCCGTGATTGCTCATATCAATAAATTCGGCCCCGCTGCCTTAGGTGGTCAGTTAAACGTTGGCGACCACTTAATGTTTGTGAATGGTATTAGCCTTGTCGCCTTACCAATCGATAAGTGCAAAGCTATTATTAAGGTACAGTAATCGACGTCAATCTGAATAAAGTTATGAAAATGTTAACCCATTATTGAAAATATCCGATATGGATCAAATTGTAGGAAAGCTGCCAGGCAACAGAAGTAACTTTAGAAATTGTATCCATGTCACCGGTAACAGAAATAGTACTAAGAAGACCAGATACGAAATATGTATGGGGATTTAGTGTGCAAGATGGTTTGGTATGAATGTTTAGCTTTATTGATTGACTTACTAAATGTAGCTATCCTTTTAAACCTATTACGAATATATTTTTTACTTGTAGATTTGCAGTGTTATTCGTGGAGGTATTGCGGAACGAGGTGGTGTACGTGTTGGCCATTATATTTTAGATATCGACAGACATAATATTGTAAAGGCTACGCATGACCAAGTTGTCGAACTCCTAACGATATCCACCGGAGATGTCAGTATTTACCTCTGTACAGCTTTCTCTTTAATTTTATGTAACTTCACAATTGGCAATACTTACATTAAAATAATAATTTTTTTTTAGTTACGTTTGAGAACCATGCCTGCTAGTATGTATAAACTGATGACAGACCAAGAAACGCCAGAATACATCTAAATTGAAATTTCATTTATTATGTCAAGAATTGAAGATTGTATCTAATATTGTATTATTGAAATGCAGAAGTATGCGATGCATCAAATAAGCAAGTGAAATTTTGTAAATTGTAATAACTTAATGGTGAATTTCTATTGTTATAATTTGATTTGCAAATCTTTCGCTTTGCTTTGTGTTAATGTTCATTACAGTTTTATGATATTTTTAAGCCAGTTAGCGATATACATCACTATCTTGTATCTTTAAGAATGATTGCGGGTTATTGGATAGCTGATTAATATAGCAATATAATGGCCGTTCCAAGAGTATGTTTTCTGGAATTGTATTAGAATTCTTCATTATTGTTTGTAGTTGTTTACGTTGAACGTCATAACTACTCTGTTCTAAAATTTAATCAATTGCTTTATATTGTACAATGATGATATATTATATATGCATACGCACATACATACTCGTACATATAACATATATATATATATATATGGTAAACAGTTATTTTAAAGTCAGATATTATTATAACATCAGCGTTTGTTAAAGAATCATTCGTTATGCATAGTTTGCATGATTTCTTGTTATGCTATTTTACATCGAAATATACGAGTGTTAGATACTTTTACACGATTTGTATAAGTGCATATCTTAAAAATTGTGATCACATTATTTTAAATAGCAGTAATTAATGTTAAAGCATTTATTATCAAATGGACTGGAACTGGTGTAAAAATAAGTAATCGTTAATAGTAAGAAAAGGTGAATTCTGGATGTAATGTATGTTTTGACATTCTGAATTTACAGCGACCCGTTCGCTTAATCAGGTACCAGTTAGGCAGCAATGTAAATATCTTTAAAATTATTCCACCTGTCAACCGTATCGTAAATACATTTATAGCAATATGGGTATTGTATTTTCATAAAATTTGAAAATAAAAGTTATGCGTTGTTAACAACATTCTTTAATTGCGAGACATTTTGGCAAGATTACTCCAATAGTAGATAGTAGATTGAATTACGACGCACAGAATGTATTTGTTCAAACTTATGTAATATAATTAATTAAACATGACAAATCGTGATATTGAAGAAAGCATTGTAACACTGCATGGCAAATTAGGCCAAAAAGCCTTTCAATTTTTGTTAGTGTATCACTAATACTCGCAGTCCAGCCTCAAATCAAGTTGAGTAAGGATTGGACTGATAAAAATTAACAAATCACATTGGAATTTTATTCATTTTAACGAATTTCTGTTTACTTTTAACACTTTCACTGTAGTTCTAAAAAGTAACTTATAAATCTTTAGTATCAAAAGCTTATCCACGCACGGAGTAGTGTCGTTATGGTTCGATTTGATTCGCAGCAAGCTAAATCTCAGATTCATATTTCATAAGAAAATATAATCCCGCATCTTTGTTTTCTGTTGGATAATTTGAAATTTATTGGCGTGAAGTTGTACTTCTCTATTTTAGCGTTGCATATTGCGGTGCATATTTTCGTAATCTTGAAATTATAAGCTAGTTATGGTACATTTATGCTTAGGTAGGCGATGAGAGTCATAGAAAACTTTTAATTTTCATATTATCCATATATGCGTATATACTGTACTTGTGAAAGTTGGGCAGGCGTCTGCGCCTCCCCATGATCAAGTAGATTAATTATCAGTGTTTTGAATTCACAACTAATGAAATATCAGGAAAGGCATATTTAGCAATAAATATTTAAAAAATTTAGAAAACTCTCAAACACACACTTACTTATTAGTAGCCCCAAGGAAAAGTCATGACTTACAAAATACGATGTTATTCTTAATGGGTAAGTGATATCAATGTGATACAGCATCCCTACAGTATGCATTACTATTTCAAGCAATTGACGCTGGAAAAGGTGGAAATTTGCAAGATTCAGACACTGCTGGTTTGCCTATACACAAGAGAGGTTCAATATTGAGGCGGTGGTGTAAATAGCTAGTATACTGATCCTATATTCATTAACAGGATGGTAGGTTTTGGATAATAGTTTATCCTTATCTTAAAATATACCGTACAGTACGCTACCTCAACACGTTCACATGAAATTACTATCTTGGATAGTCAATGTAACAAAAATAAATCTACGAAGTTCAAATATTACCGTCTGTCATATTGGCATATAAAATTTCAATATTCAAACTGTGATATGAATTAGCAGATAGTAAGCCTATATTCGCTAATGAGACGATTATTATTATCATTATTAATTAATAATTTATAATCAACTTAAAATTAAGTTTACATTTATACATTTTCGAACAAAATGTTTATTATACCGCTATTATTTGATGATTTTCAAATAGCAGTTGCCTAAGATGCCTAATTACTTAAGATGTTGTAATTTGCTTATAATAACACAGAGCTTATTATTCCTTAAGCTTCTCATATTCTAAATAACTGATGATTGATATTTATTTCTGAAAACTTCGTGACGAATATATCATCATAGCTCTTACTATCTCAGGTATCTTTCTTACAACTTTCTACTATTTTATAAAATGGCACTTCTTTGCTAATAAAATGAAACGAAATTCCATCTCTAACTACTCTCTTTTTAATCAAACTAGTTTAAACTAGATATTATTATTTACGTGAGCTCTTGAAATGATCAACGAAAAATATCGCCCCCCTGCTGCCGTCCTATATGCAAGTAGTATATCCTCATTAATACCTTCTATTATAACTTCTGGCCTTGTATAGTATTAATAGAATATTTACTTTCTTTAAGCAATGCTATCATCTTGTAAAGTTTTTACAGTAAATTTATGATGCTAGTAAACAATAATAAAATAGCCCAATAAATTCTTATAGTCAGGAAAATAGTTATTTTGATTTAACATTATGACCTAAGTGCACATATCCTACGTAACATGTTTAAGTTACGGTACTGTCAAGACTACGAGTATACCAACATGTTTTAACAAAACAACAAGATTTTATAATATACTTACTTAACATTCTGCACTATTTCAATTGATATGCGCAGTTAGTGGCTACCGTAATAGTAGCATATTTGTTAACTAATAGCAGTTAGCAAAGAATACATTAAGCAACCTATTAAATTATCGTAATCAAAAAGCAATTAAATCCGTATTTCATAGCATTGAAAATCGTTTTGAAATATTTGTAAACTACAATATGTATTGCATTTGTCTTCAACGGAGTCCTATAATTGGCAATATATTGCTACTATCATAGCTTATTAGATACTAGGTGAGATATCCTTTCAAAATAAAGGGTGGCAGAATAGAAGTTTCACGATCGTGTACCATATGCCTTAATATGTAATGATATATTTATTGACTATATTCAGCCATTGACATGGTTGCCGCACCGTCATTACTCCTTATTATTTTTGCTGTTAGATTAGGAATCAGCTTAATTTAATAAATTGATGGACAAGTAATGCAGGGCATGAATGTTTTCTTGCTGAATGGATTTACAATTGCAGTATAGTTCGATATTTTGTAGCAGCTTTATATTACATAGATACATTTATAGTGTGAAATTATCGAGTTAATTTGAAGCACTAGTGTTTAGCCACTACTATACGAGTTACAGTACGATGACGTCTTAGTGCTTGTTATTGATTATTTGCTATGCAAATAGACTTCGTTAATGAATTCATGGCATTTTTTCTAGATGAGCTGTACTTATGAATACTGCACTATGGAATGCAGCTCCTCATTATCATCATATGTAAGCATCCAAGGACCATGCTATATCGATAGCTTAAGGAGTAGGAATATCCAGTTGATCAACTTATTAACTTACAAAATAGTTGTTATTCAACTTGAATACCCTCGTATTGTATTAGATAACTGGTAGCAGTAGCGGATGAAAACTAGTTCTAAAGTCTAAAATTTAAATTGTAAATTCTGATTCATACATGTCATATTAATGGATTACTTGCTAACCTAGAGTGCATTGGTTAATTGTTTTCGAAACAATTCTATGTCTGCCCAATGTTAATTATTAATGAACTTGAATATTATTTAATATTTATCATTTTGCGGCTATTGATTATTAGTAATTGTTTAAATAGACTTGGCTACGGTTGCATTCTTCATGAGAATACATGGATTTAAAATGTAGGCACTTCATTTTTATTTAGCAACTGACTTTCAGGATGATTAACTTTAAACCTTATTAGCCTAGAATAAATCGACAATCGACGACAATTCCTAATCTTAAAAGACACACTTCTAACACCAATATTAGCATTTAGTATTCTATATATAACAAAATTTGACGGTTTTACCTTTTTGGGATTATGTTAAGGGAAGGGGAACTAATTGAATGATGTCTGGATGGTCTTTATGACTATAATAAACAGTAACAATTCAGTCAATTACTTTAATTGTATGATGATTACTTGGTCACCGTTCATGGCGCCAAGGCGTGCAAAAAGGAGCAGATGGCACCGTTAAACTAATTCATCCAGAATCAGTTTAAATTTCATCAATAAATAATGTTACTGTAGTCTATCGATATACAAGGAGTTTTTTAGTGTATAGGTAATGCTCAGTCTTTTTACCTGTTCACATCTGCAAGCGCGTTCTTATTTGTTCCGTAAATTAGTAATTTAGTACTATAAGACTAGCTCTAGGCAGCGTTAGTGGATTAATGCTATTTGTTAACATACTTAATTTACATTTTACTTTTAGACCATTTCAATATTATGTCAAAGTTTTGACGTAGTAGCAGTATACACAATGTTATTACAAACGGATCCACTAATTGAAGTTATTGTTGCAGCACAGTAGAAAATACAGAGAGGTTGCACAACTGTTAAATATTTAATTAATAAAATAAATGAATAACAATGAAAAGCTTACTCTAGTAATTTATTACAAGCATTACAGTAGCGTCATTATAGAATTTGTATACTTAATTTTGACGTTTTAACCTTAATACAGTAAATTCATTCTTAATAAAACCTATATCGGTGATAGAATTTATTAACGGGGTATTTT